ATTATTGAAAGAATATTTGGATATTTTAAGGGGAAATTTCAGAAGTTTAGAGATAAAATTGATAATTTAGATTTTGTTTCCAAGTTATTTTTTACCTCGGCTATTATTTATAATATAACTATTAAAGAAAGAATATCTGTAGAACTTGAAGAAGAAGTTTTAAGAATTATAGAAAGTGATGAAGATAATAAATAAATTTATTTGTTCTTGTCATGAAATACTTTATTAAAAAGACTTAATAATTGATCAAATTTGCTTTCAATTTTATCAATTTTAATGTTTAGTTCTTGATATTCTTGATTTTTAGTTTCTTTACTGTTAGTTTGAATTAATGATTCTAAAATTTTATATTTTTGATTATTACTTTTTTCTAAATATTCCACAACCAGTTCTGCTGCAGTTTGCTTCTGTTTTTTAATGTTATTACAATCATCATTAATTCTTGTTTCTAAAAAATCATTTTTAAACTTTCTTTAGTTGACTCTTTACATGAATCAGAAATCAATTTTACTGATTCTTCTAGAATTGAAGAGTTAAAATATTCGAAGAACTTCCATTTAACTCTACCTTCACCACTCTTAGAAGCTTGCTTTTTCTTTTCTATATAAACCTTCAAAAGATTATTAAACTTTGACTTTACATCTGATGAAGAAAATTCAGTACCGAGTTCATTAGCAATTTCATACCACAACTTATTAAGTTCATATGAATTGCCTTTATGCTTTGCAAACTTTTTTAAATAATCTGCGTTCTTTCTTAAAGATATTAATCTTTTTGTATGTTCTTCTGTAAATTTCATATAGGAAGAAAATGAAACCTAAAATCTTATAGGAAAAACATAAATTTTAATTAAAACATTGTTTTTAGAACATATCTTGCTTATTAAATAATTTATTGTAAATTTTAATATCAATTAAGTATATATATAAAGGGTTAAATTTACTTCAAACACACTCTTGTCATTAGATTTTTAAATTTAAAAATTCATATAAGAAAAAAATTGAAAGTGCCCTTAAAAACTATTTTTCTTTTTATTCAATGACAATGTTTTATTTTCAAAATTAAATTTGAAAATATGGTTTCATTTAGTTTTAAACAGTTGAATTTTAAACATTTGAAAAGTTCAAACCCAACTTAATGTTTTTACTGATAAAGTTAAACAAATTTTTATAAAAAACTTGGATTAATAG